AGAAACGATCGATTTAAATAATTAATTTATTTATTTATTTATTAATAATAATAATTGTTAACAAATCAAAATTCTGGTTATAGAAAATTTTTCCCGACGGAATTGTTATTATTATCATCATTTAAAATATATAAAATCGTAACCGTTCGTGATTTACAAAAGAAAAATTGTAATTATTACCTTTTATTATCATTATTATTATTGTCTAATTACATATTATTATTAAGTTATTATTATTATTATTATTATTAATAAAATTTTTCCACGTTTTTCTTTTTAATTATACGTAATTAAAAAAATTCATAAAAGTTTTTTTGAAATAATTTTGATAATATTTTAAAAAAAATGGCGAACGTTTTACATTATTTATTTGTTTTAAATAAAATCGAAGAATTATTTAGGTATTTTTTTTTAATAAGTAATAAATAAATAAATAAATTAATTAATTAATTAAAATAAGGTCGTTAATAATTAAATAATATTTTAATTAATTTTTTTTTTGTTAAATGAAATGATTTTTACGGGAAATTTTTTTATTTTTTTTTTCTGTGCGTTTTTATCATCTGAAATTTTATCAAATAATAATAATTACCTTACGAAAAAATATGCGTGTGCGTGTGTGCGTGTGCGTAAAAAAAAAAATGTTAATTAAAAAATTATCGATAATTAATCGAAGGGTGTGAAATAAAATTAACGTTATATTAATTGTTCAGGTTATAAATCCGTCATTGATAACAATTATCGAGTAGAGAGAGAGAGAGAGAAAGGGGGGAGGTAGGGGGGGGGAACTGTGAGAAAAGAAGAAAGATAGTAGGGAAAAATATTTTAAGAAAAAATCTGTCGAAGGAAAATTTTAGAAAAAAAAAAAAAAAAAAATTAATGGGGGTCAAATGGACATTCGAGTTTTCACCTATCCTGTACCCTTAAATCACATATAAATCCCGATATAAACAATAATAAACTATATATACTTATGGTATTTAATTATAATTAATTAAAATTTTTTTCCCTTAATGAAAGGTATTTTCAACCCCCCGAGTTTTTTTTTTTTTTTTTTTTTTTTTTTTCACACGCCGCGAAAGCCTTTTGTCACTCACGAAAGCTTTCCTAATACTATATACCACGTCTTTTGTCACTTTGTATTTTCACCAAATAACAAAAAAAAAAAAAAATCATCATCATCATTATTATTATTATTATTTAAATTAAGATGATATTCAATCAATGATTGACTCTCGGGTTTAGCTAATAATATTTTAAATCACAACATCGTCTATTCTAGTATTCGAATTTAAATTTTTTTAATTTTTTTTTTTGAAAAAAAAAATTTTTGAAAAATTGACCGAAGCAAGCAATGATTTTTTTTTACACATGACTCCCAATTTTTCGTTTTTTTTTTCGTTTAACTTTTTTGAAATCGTTTTCGAAATTTGTGTTTTTTTTTTTTTTTTTTTTTTTTTTTTAATACTTTTCCATTCCAAAAAAAATTTAAACTCTATTTTGAAAAATTTTTTTATCGTATTGTTAATAATAATAATTTTTTTTTTTTAAATACAAAAATTCAGTTTTCGTGCGATTTAGTAAAATAAAGCAAAAGCTTTCGATGTAACGCCTACGTTTAACTTATGTAATACGAAATTGTCGAAAACATCTGATTGAAAGCGACGCGAGTTTTTTTTTCAAATGTAACGCTTACGTTTAACTTATGCGTGTGTTAATTCGAAAAAGGAACCTCCTCTTCCGGTAAAAAAAAAAATTTTCTAAAAACGTGCACGACTTTATGAATCCCACAAAGAGGCAAAATTTATTTAATTGTAATAAAATTCGAGTATTTAAACAAAAAAAAAAAAGGGAGGGGCATAGAAATAACGAAGAAAAACATTTTCGAAACGGAAATTAATTGGAAATAACGGTAAGAACGAATTATTTGAAGTATAAAAAAAAAAAAAACTTTTAATAGATTTAAATTTTACGTTAAAAAAAAACACAGGTAATAATAATAATGATAATAAAATTTTTTTAAATGTAAATTAACCGTTTAAATGAATTTAAAAATAATTTTCATAAGTAAATCCCTTGAAATTATCACGTTTTCAATGGTGACAAAAGGATTTTAATACGATGCGAAAATTTTAGCCAATGAAAAACGTTTCGATAAAAATTATAAACTCCGCCCACTTTTTTTTTTCGAGATTTTAAAAATAAATTATTTAACGTAAAAATATTTTTAAAAAAAATTATTAATTGGTTTAATAAATAATAATAATTTTAAAAATTATTAATTAATTAATTAATTTTATTGTTGAGTTAATTATTATTAAAAAATTGATAAAAGAAAGAGTTAAATAGTTATTTAATAAATAATTATTAATTATTAGTTGGAGGCGGGGGAAATGATGATTATCGACAATGAAAAAGGATTTATTATTATTATTATTATTACTTATTTGGGAAAATGATAAATTAAATGTTTAATTCGAAAAATCGAAAATTTTTTTTTATATATGTAAATTCGAAATGGATTCGAATCGTACACACGCACTCACACACCCACCCAAACATACACGCAGTTCAAATTTTTAAAAAAAAAAATTTGTTTCGTTTTGTTTTTTTATTTTTTTTTCTTTCATGTTTTTTTTTAAAGTTCCGAAAGGATTTAAAAATTTAAAAAAAAGTTTTTAAAATGTCGAATTCTAAATAGAAAAAAAAAAAAAAAATTATTGTTTATCCATTAAAAAAAAAAAAAAAAAAAAAAAATTTTCATTTCAACAGTCTATAAAAAGAAGCGAGGTTAATATCAAGAGGCTTTCAACACATAAAACCAACTGTAACATCCTCTGCAATTTCATCTGCTTTTCATTTTATATTTACTTTTTAAATAATAATAATAATAATGATAATAATAATGATTATAAGGGGTCGAAAAAAAAAAAAAAAATGTCTACCCCCGGGTCAATTTTTTTAATAATTCGTTTATTTCTCAGTATCGTAAAACGTTTAAAAAAATTCTTGTTTTATTTGCAATTTATCATCATCATCATCATTATTATTATTATTATTATTGATAAAATTTAAAGAAAAAACATTTCAAAATATAATAAATTTAACGAACGAAATGATAATAATAATAATAATAATTAATTAAATCGAAACGAAAGTGAAAAAAAAAAATTTGCTTTTTTTTTTTTCTACGTGTGAAGAATATATTTATTACGTGATAATAATAATAATAATAATAATTTATTTTTTGTGATTTTTAGATTATTATTAATATTATTATCATATCGAAAAATATCGTATCGAACATTCGATTTGTATCGATTTTTTAAAATGGCAAACCTGAAATTTTTTTTTTTACCTTTGTCGTCATTGTGGAAAAAATTTCATAGAGAAAATAAATTGAGAGAAAAAATTGTTTTTTTTTTTTTTTTTATTTTGTTTTGATTTTTATAGGTTTTGAGAAAAATGATGATGATGATGATGATGATGATAATAATATGAGGCGTTAATTTGTCTCAAAATAAATACTTGAAAGATTTTTTTTTTTTTAAAATAATAAATTGCATATTAAATGTGAAACAGAGACGTGAAATTGAGATTCAAATGCCAAAAAAAAATTTTTTTTTTTTAAAAAAAAATGAATTAAAAAAAAAAATGGGCGTTATAAGCAAAAGGGAGAATTTAAAAGAAAAAAATTATTAAATAAACTGAGGGGCAGCATGTGGCTCCATTTTATGTATAATACTTTTTTTTTTTTTTTTTTTGTAAAAAGCTTATAAAAACTTTGAAAGCAGTTAATTTGTCATCCACTGGATAATTTTTAATATTACAAAGTTTTGAGCTTCCTCTTTTACGGGAGGGGTTGAAATATCCAATGTTATTTTTCATTAAAAAACCAGAGCAGGAAACTTATTATTGATTTTATTCCGGCATGACGCCATATTGTCTTGATTACAATCCAAATATAAAAATTTATCCAAATTTTTCCTTCCTTCCCCCCTTTTATTTAACAAAAAATAAATTTAAATAAATTTATTATTAATTTATTATTAATTTATTAATAAAAAAAAAAAAAAAAAAAACTTTAGGGGTTTTATGATAACAACAGAAAATAATTTTTAAAGAAATTTGTTAGACATTCACAATAACTTTCATATTTATACTATTTTTATATAATTACTTATATTGAATATTGTTTAAATTTGAATGCAAGTACTAAATAGCATTATTATTACTTCAAATTACAATTTCATACATTTTAAATGATTTTAAACCACTTTTAGTATTACCTTTCAATTATTTACCCTAACTGTTAAAGAATCTTATTCATTTTTAACAATAAATATGAATTTTTATAAAATTTGAGACTTATTTAATATTATTCAATATTTATAGTATTTATTGATTGATTATTTATAACCAATAATTAATTATTTTGTACTTTTTTAGAAAAAAAAACTTTGAAAATTTACTCTGGCTACTCCTCTTTAAAATATCTTAGAGTGGATTATACTACTCCATTATTATTATTATTATTGTATTTTTAAGAAGATAGAATTTTGTTTAAGGTCTGGAAAGATATTTAGAAACATATTTATATTTTAAATAATTTTATTAACAAAAAAAAAAAAAAAATTCAATTAAAACATGTTAGTAGTTGTAGGTTGGTTTTATTTATTTTTATTTAATATTTAAAGTAATAATAATATTTTTTACAATAATATATCTATAATGTTTTAATACATTTCTTTTTTTTTTTTTTTGTTTTACAATTAAATAAATCGTTTCGTTTTAATTATTATTAAAATATAATTAATTAATTAATTAATTTTTTTTTTTTTTTTTTTTGAAAAATAAACAAATTTTATTAAAAGGGGGTAAAATTGTTTCAATTTACATCGTACTTTTGAAAAAAAAAAAAAAAAATGTTTTGAAATAATAAAAGTTTTGAGTTGGTATAATTGTTGTTTCAAAACGTAACGCGGTAAAATTCGTCAAGGGACACAGACGTTGCGTTTTTTCTTGGTGTTAATAAAGTATCGCGACTGTCATGATCGATCGGCTTCGAGAATAAAAATAGCCATTTTAGACAGTGTTTTTGTTTTTTAGTTTAAAATTTTTAGTATCATACTCATGTTTGAGCCCCAGAGTGCTCTCCTGCTTAGAAAACAATTAGCAGGTAACGTATGAACGTTAAATATTTTATTTTTATTAATCCAAGCAATAATCATTTTCCTATTAACTGTATGCATCTCATCATTAATTTTTTTTTTTTTTTTTTTAAATCCAATTTATTTATTTATTATATATGTAACCGTTTATTTTCTCTCTTTTAATTCGTTTATTATTTATACATACATTAAATTTTTCACTTATATATTTTAATTTTTTTTTTTTGTCACCACACATAATTCCTAACCGCAATTTTTTGGTTAATTTTTTTTTTTTTTTTTATTATGTCTGGCCTTGATGCATGTTTTTGCTAGCCTTGATGATTTTTATTAAATTATACATAATGTTAAATTTTATGGGGTATTTCCTGACTAGTTATTACAAACATTTATATAGTTAAAATATTATCAAATGTCGTAATGTTTTGTTAAAAAATAAACCACGTGAAATGTATTGCGTTTTATGCAATACTTGAATTATACATGCAGCCATTTTTAAAAATTTCTTTTTTCAAAATCATTTTCAACAGTTTTATTTTTCAACATTATTATTATTATTATTATAATTATATTTTCCCCATTATCATTAAACGTTTAATACATATATTTTTTATTAATATCTCATCGATAAGTGATAAATACATTTATTTATTTTCGTAAATAATATTTGTATGGTCCACGCTTTGATGAGTATTACATATGGGTTTTCACTTAATTGCTTTTGTTTATCTCGTGTGGTTGCGTGCACAAAGATGGAAAAATTATAATTTTTTTAAAATATCCATTTTATTTTTTAACCTCTATTTAGTTTTTTTTTTTTTTTATGAAAATTATATTGTAGAGTTGAAAAACATCATATAGATTTTTTTATTACTACTCATAATTGTTTATGGTGGTGCAATAATAATTTAGGAAGTTATTTACAAATTTTTTAGCCTTGCCAAAAAAAAAAAAAACATTCTTAACAAGATTTTTTTCGAAAATAAATAAATAATAATAATAATGTATATTTGATTGTAATGAGGTTTGAAACGAGACAAAAAAATTTATTATATACATATATATATATATATTTATTAAATAATTGTTTTTATTTCTGGTTGTCTAACTAAAAATAAAAATTTGCAGAGCCATTGACCTTTTTTTTTTTTTTTTTTCTTCACAATATTAAGCAATTTTGCAATTTTTTTTTTTTTTGTCAACGTTTATCCTTAAACCTATTTTTATAATTCATTTCATATTTATTATGAATACATAAATTGCTTTTTATTTAAATAAATTATTCTGTTATTTTTATTTTAGGTTTTTATAACATAATTTTTTATGTTTAATTATGTCGGTTTTATAAAATTGAGTTTGATATTTTCGATTTTTATATATTTAATTTTTTTTCTTTTTTCTTAATTCAATTTAAATTTATAATGAATTAATCGAGTGAATGAAAAGAAAAGAAATGAAAACAATCAGTGAGAATAATCACTTGTGTGTTTTATTACTGCCTCAATACACATTATTTATTTTTGATTGTTTGATGATACCTTTCGAATAATTTTTTCTTTTTTTTTTGTTTTCAGAATTGAATAAAAACCCTGTCGAAGGGTTTTCTGCAGGACTCATAGATGACAATGATATATATAGATGGGAAGTCCTTATTATTGGACCACCTGATACTTTATAGTAAGTTTGCAAGTGAATCTAACAAATTATTATTATTACTTTAAGTTTCAATTTGTATATTTACGAGAAATGTTGGAGGGGGAAAAAATGTATTATATTTTTTTCGAGTAGTCGATTTAAAAGAAACATAACCTCAAAATTTTTTTTTTTTTCATGCTTTTTATTACATCTCATGTTGTAACCAAATTATTATTATTATTATTATTATTATTTATTTTTTGGTGAATTTTTTTATATCATGAGTTTAGTTAAGCAATATTAAATGAACAATGGTGTAATTTTTTTTTTTTTTTAATTTTCAGCGAAGGAGGATTTTTTAAATGTCATTTATTATTCCCTAAAGAATATCCACTTAGACCGCCTAGAATGAAATTTATTACAGAAATTTGGCATCCAAATAGTAAGTATATACTGAAACTATATTTTCATATATATTTAAGGGAGTGTTTGAACATGATTAGTAGTAATTCAAATGTTTTGTTTTTCAGTTGAAAAAAATGGTGATGTATGTATTTCAATTTTACACGAACCAGGAGATGATAAGTGGGGTTATGAAAAGGCATCGGAACGATGGTTGCCTGTTCATACGGTTGAAACAATACTTATATCTGTTATATCAATGTTAGCTGACCCCAACGATGAAAGCCCTGCCAATGTAGATGCTGCGGTTAGTATTTATCCTATTATTATTTTCCTATTCGATAAACTTATCGAATCTTACCCCAATGTCTTGTTAAGTGTGTTTGTCTCTTATGTATTTGAAATTGATTATTTATTTATTAATTTATTATTATTATTTTTGTTGCAGAAAGAGTGGAGAGAAAATTATTCGGATTTTAAAAGAAAAGTTGCACGGTGTGTACGAAAAAGTCAAGAAGAGTGCTTGTAGGGGTATTATATATATATATATTAATTAATTAATTAATTCAATTGAAAATCCTTTGAAAAGGTATTTCTATATTTTTTTTTATCTATCTATCTATCTATCTCTTTCTCTCTCTCTCTCTCTCTCATTATTTTATATTTTCATGTAAATTAATTATTATTCGAATCGAATTCAAATTAGTTTAGAAGACATTTTTTTTTTTTTTTAATAATTTTTATTTTTTATTTTTTATTTTTAATATGTTTGTTTATTGTAGGCTTTTAAAACACAAAAAAAAAAAAAAAAACAAAAAAAAAATTTAAAAAAAATTAAAAAAAAATAAATAAATAAACGAATAAATAAATAATATGATAATGATAATGATGATGGGTCGAGATTATATGTTAACATCAGTCACAACAAATATTATTATTATTATATTACAATGATGGAAACATTTTAATAAGATATTCAAGGGAAATAAATAATAATTAATTATTATAATAATATTAATGATGATGATGATGATAATAATAATAATAATTGATAAAAAAAACATTTGACTTTAATTCTCCTAGTATTTTAAAATATATATATATATATACATACATGATAAAAATAATGATAATAATAATAATACATAATAAAACTGGCGAATTTCGATTACACAATAATTCATCAAAGTGAGATGTGAGATTTTTTTTTCATAATGATTTGGAAATTCAGAAACAGCCAACAACCAACAACCACAAAAAAAAAAAAAAAATTGGAAAAGATGTAAACAGGAAGATGGGAAAACACGAAGGAAAAACAAAAGGAAAAATTGAAAGAAAAATTAGGCGATTTAATAATAATAATAATAATAATAATAATAATAAATAAAAAGGGAAAAATTTTTTTTTATTTTTACTTCCGGTGACTTATTACATTTTTTTTTTTTTTTTTTAATTGTTTGTTCGGTCGTGTTTGTTTGTTTGTTTGTTTGTTTGTTTTTAATTTAAAAAAAAAAAAAAAAAAAAAGTGGAAAGAAGTTTTTTGTAAAAAAAAAAAAAAAGAAAAGTGAATAGACATGTTTAAAAAAAAAAAAAAAAAAAAATTATTATTTTTACGGAAAAAATGAAAACCTGAAATTCTGATGATTGGTATGAAAAAAAAAAAAAAATAATAATAATAATGATGATGATGATGATGATGATGATGATAATTTTTTTTTAATTATTTTAAATCACGTCCGCGAAAAAAAAAAAAAAAATTTCCACACGATTCGAAAACGTTTGCATGTTTTTCTCTCTCTCTCTCTCTCTCTCTCTCTCTCTCTTTCTCTCTATCTATCTATCTTTCTCTCTCTTTTATTAAGGTACGAGGAACGTCAACTTTTATTATTTATAATTTTTTTTTTTTTTTTTTTTTTTTTAAAAGAGGATAAAATAAAAGAGGGGGAAAAAAAATAATAATAATAATAAAAAGTCAAACCCGAAATCATTTTAATTAATAATTTAATGTATTTTTATTATTTATTATTATTATTATTATTATGTTATTATCAATAAATTTATTATTATTATTATTATTATTATTATTTTAAAAAATTTTTATCGATTCGATTTTTTAAATATTTTTTTTTTTGATTTTAGAATTTCAGGTTTTTTTTTTTTAATAAATTGGAATTATCATTTTTGAATTTTAAAAGAGAATTATATAAATA